GTCCGTGAAATATCTCTGTCCTCAGTGCCCACACGCATTGCATACCTAAGAAGCACAGTTGATAAGATTGAAACTGAACTGAGCAAGTTTGTCTTAAACTATTTGATCTAATAATGTTAAACTTGACATGGGGAAGAAGAGGGTTGGCCAAAGTACAGGTGCATCGAGCAGGTTAAAATTCGAATATGTATATTTACATTTACATTGTTCTAACAACATCATCAATTATGTTATTCACAATAATACATTTAAGTAATATTTTTTAAGTCATTCCAATAATAATGATCTACTTATAAACATTGAATTAAAACAATAGTATATTTACATTATCCTTATTCCTTGAATAAAATAAAATAATTTAAATATATCACATTGCCGATGTTAACTATTTTTCCCCTTATTCAATATTATATAGCAATCTGCCATTCTTTAATCGATTAACTTGAAGATTTAATCGATTAAATGGTCAAAACTGGTAAAAAAGGTTGACTTGAAGATTTAATCGATTAAATCTTCAAGTTAATCGATTAAATCTCCCAACAGGCAACAAAGGTCAAATCTCCTCCATAAACAAAAGTAGATTCCATGTATATGAAGCAAATCAACAAGCATAAATAACCAAACAAACAAAGAAACCAACAAAAGAAAAACGATTCTTGGAAACTGGATTGATTTACATGAACAGGTCTGGCTTCATTTCTACCTCTCACATGAAAACCTTGCTTATTACATGAAAAACAGCGCGAAGTGATCTTATTGTCAACCTCAGAATGATGACAACAATCAAGGCGAACAACGAACCCTTCCCGTCTTGCATATTCATCATAAAAATACTTAGCAGAATCTTCAATCAGTTTTTCGTGTATAGGTTATTTAAATTTTGAATTTTGAATTTAACGCAATCAGCTCCTATTAAATACAAATCGCAATCAACTCCTATTACATTAAATTCAAAATTCAAAATTCAAATAACCTCCAATATTGTGTTTGTCTCATTCAATCAATGTTTTCACGCTCATTTGGGATATTTAATGGATTAAATATAAGTTTTAATCGGTTAAATCAATTAAGAGGGATATTTAATCGATTAAATCTTCAAGTCAACCATTTTTGTCAGTTTTGACCATTTAATCGATTAAATCTTCAAGTTAATCGATTAAAGAGGGACAGATTAGTAGATAGCTTTGGATAAGGGAAAAAATGATTATTAATTAATTAATGAAGAGCAAAAGAGTCAAAAAGTCGTCGATGTTACTTGTATAGTTTTTCTACTAAAAAAATAAAATAAAATAAGAAAAAAATAATTTTAATAAAATTTAAAGGAAAAATGTTACTTTTCTCATTCAATCAATGTTTTCACGCTCATTTGAGATATTTAATGGATTAAATATAAGTTTTAATCGATTAAATCAATTAAGAGAGATATTTAATCGATTAAGAGAGATATTTAATCGATTAAATCTTCAAGTCAACCATTTTTGTCAGTTTTGACCATTTAATCGATTAAATCTTCAAGTTAATCGATTAAAGAGGGACAAATTGGTAGATAATTTTGGATAAGGGGAAAAATAATTATTAATTAATTAATGAAGAGAAAAAGACTCAAAAAGCCGCCGATGTTACTTGTATAGTTTTTCTACTAAAAAATAAAATAAAATAAGTAAAAAATAATTACAATAAAATTTAAAGGAAAAATGTTAGACTTGTTACATTATATTTTGGGTACTTAACAAAAATTGCAGGACCAATTTTAATTTCTTAGAAAAAAAATCAACTTATAATTTTTTAAAATTCAAAATAAACTCAGTCGAAATTATAATTTTTTTGAAATTCAAAAACGATTCACATTAAGCCTTTGTTCTTGCATGTTCAACTCTACTACTTTGGTTCTCCCGCGCGTGCTTTAACTGGATGTCTCCGTCTCTCTGGATTTTTTTAAGTGGTCCCTTTTTTATATAAGGAAAAATTTATTTCATTTGAATCCAATTAATTTTTTTTTTTTTCCTTTGAATCCTCACTTGGTATCATCCCAATATATAACATGAAGCCTTAATTTTTTTTTTATTCTTTAGAAAAAAAATTAACTTGTAATTTTTTTGAAATTTAAAATAGATCCAATTAATTAAAATCATGATCTTTTTAAAATTAAAAAAAAAATCCATATTAATACTTTTAAAAAATAACAAATTTTAAAAAAATTATGAGTCAATTTTTTTTAATTAAATTAGATCTTATAATATTTTTTAATCACCCAAAAAATATTTTAGTCTAACATCTTTTCAGTGACGTAAGATGTGATGAAATGGGAGCTAATAATGACAGGACGATGAAGAAACTTATGATGGAGACTTATGAGCAATGGATCTTTGAAAAGTCAATCTCAATTTGGTTCTCGCACGTTCAACTGTACTACTTTGGTTCTCCCGCGCGTGGTTTAACTCCATCTCTCCCTCGTCTCTCTGGATAATTTTTTTTTTAAAGTAAAGTCCTTTTGAGTTTTCAATAAAAAATATGATCTCATTTTAGTTTTTTATAAAAAAAATTAATCGTTTGATTTTTATAAAATTTAATGTAGACTCATTTTAATATTTTTGAAAAATTAATGTAGATCTTTTCTGAATTTACAAAAAATCACAATTTTAACTAAACGGGTCCACTTAAAATTTTTTAAAAATTTCAAGATTATTTTTTTTTAAGTGACTAAAGTTGATACCATAATTTTTGTTAGAGAACAAAAAAAACTTTTTATGGGTTCGGGTCCTTCGTAGCAAGTATAAGGTGGAGGAGAGCCTCATTCCAAGTATCTCGGCCACAGCAAATGATTCTTGTTTATGGAAGGCTATTGTTAAGTATTGGCCTCAAACTCTAGAGAATTTTCGTATCATTTTAGGGGATGGGGTTCATACGTCTTTTTGGATGGATTTGTGGGTGCCAGGATGTCCTCAACTTGTTTCTCTGGCCGTTCAATCTATTCCTCCTATTATGACCCATTGGTCTACGTCTCAATTTGTAACTTGTTATGGTAATTGAGACTGGCCTTTATTCCAGCACCTTCTTCCTACTTCAGTATTAGACAAGATTCGTAGTGTGCTCCCTCCTACAGTGGATCCTTCTTCGTACCGTGTTATTTGGGCAGGTAGCCAAGATGGGGTTTTTTCAGTGAAATCAGCTTATAACTATCTCATGGGTACCTCGCATTATCATCAGGATAGGATTTGGAAGGTAATTTGGGCTTGGCCTGGTCCTGAACATATTAGACAATTCTTATGGCTTCTCTACAGAGGTTCTCTTTTAACTAATGTTCGTAGAGTGCATCGTCACATGGCTACAGATGCAGCGTGTCTGAGATGTCATTATAATCTTGAGGATAGTTTACATGCCATTAGAGATTGTCCTGGTGTCAGGGAATTATGGGAGCATCGGGTTCCTTCTGATAACTGTAGTGACTTTTTCTCCATGGATCTTCACCTATGGATCTAGACAAATCTAGGATTAAAAGGTCTGTTTCAAACTGATCGAACTTGGCCTTTGTATTTTGGGGTGATAGCTTGGTGTTTGTGGGGGGGAAGAAATAAGGCGATCTTTGATCAAACTAGCACCTCAAAGTATGGTCTCATTAGGCGCATTACCTACACTTGTGGTAATATTCAATTGGCTAATGAAACCCTTATTAAGATTGGTCATCAGGAGCTTAGAAGAGAGGAACGTCTTATTCACTGGAATTTTCCCTCTGAGGGTTATGTTAAACTTAATGTGGATGGTTCCAGCATAGACAGTGGGCAAAGGACTGCATGTGGTGGAGTCATAAGGGATGTTGTTGGAAACTGGTTAATTAGTTTTACAAAATTCCTTGGGAGTGGTACTTCTACTTCAGCGGAAATTTGGGGGTTCTTGACAGGTATGGATCTGGCTTGGCATAAGGGATTTAGGAGAGTCTTTGTGGAGGGTGACTCCAAGGTGGCTTTGGAATTTATAAGAAAAGGGTGTGACGTAAGTCATCCTCTTTCTGCTTTAATCATCCGAGTTCGTAGCATGCTTCAAAGAGACTGGATTATTCAGCTTAGTCATACTTATAGAGAAGGCAAATTTGTTGCTGATTGGCTTGCTACTTATGTACCTTATCAGGATGGACAACTGATTGTGCTGGATGTCCTTCCAACGACTTGTTTGGAATTGCTTCGTAATGACTTGAGGGGGGGAGTTAGTCTCCCAAGATTGTGTCCAATATAGGACTTTTTTTTTTAAGTTACTTTAGTTTTCATTGTATTTCTAAAAAAAAAAAAAAAACTTTACTTTTTTTTAAGTGCTGTGACTATACAACTGAGTGGTCCCTTGAAAAAATTATTTCATTTGAATCCAATTATTTTTTTCTATTTTTCTTTGAGCCTCACTTGGTATCATCCCAGTATACAACATGAAGCCTTAGTTTATTTTTTTATTTTGTTTTTTGTTTTCATTACCTGTTGTAAGTACTTATTCTTAAGAAGTTAATCCTAATTCTAAAATTTTAAAACTAATTTCAAATACTCTTTTTTATTTTTAATAAAAAAAAATAGTTATAGAATATTTTATTAGCACCAAATTTTTAGATCATTTACATTGTTTTCTTAATTTTATGCGTAAAGTTATATGTATTAAAGATAAATTAAAATTTCATTTTCTTAAATATTTTTTTTAATATTTTAGAGAATTAAATAAGATTTCTATAATAAATTAATTAATTAATTAATGAACTACCCATGGTAACCGCAGAAAATTTCAACAAAACACTACAGTCACATAGCGATTTAAAGGCTTAATTTTAGATCTCTCCTAAATTCAATTAGTTGCAAAGCAATCAACCAGTTGAAATATTTCAAAAAAAAAAAAAAAATAACGGTTGAAAGTTGAAAAGAAAATTCTTGTCACACAGCGGTTCACAAAATTTTCTTTAATAAAACTCGTGGGAAAGAAAATCCAAACTCTTTTATATTTGTGCTTTCCCACTTCACTATCTTTCCAGCTCCATGGACCAAACTACCTCTTTCCTTCTTTGTTCCACAATAAACACACAATCACAACCATGAGTCTATGACTCTCTTTTATTAGTATTCATCTTATCTAACTAACATTAACATACAAGTGCTAAGCTTCTAGCTATCTGCTGAAACTTAGAACTGAGAAAAATGGGGTTCTCTCCACCTCATCAGGGAAGTGGTGGAAATAAATGGGAGAGCAACAAAGTCTTTTCTCTCCAAGTCCTTACAGGGAGATGGTTCATGGTGTTTTCATCATTTATGATATTGTCAGTATCTGGAGCAAGCTACATGTTTGGCCTCTACTCCAGAGAAATCAAGTCAGTTTTGGGCTATGACCAATCCACTCTCAATCTGTTAAGCTTCTTCAAGGACTTGGGTTCCAACATAGGCATTCTTTCAGGCCTAATCAATGAGGTCACACCCCCTTGGGTTGTCTTAGCAATTGGTGGGGTTCTCAATTTTTTTGGGTATTTTATGATTTGGCTTGCTGTGACCAGAAAAATTGCAAAGCCCCAAGTGTGGAACATGTGCTTCTACATCTTTGTTGGAGCCAATTCTCATTGTTTCACCAACACTGGAGCTCTAGTTACCAGTGTAAAGAACTTCCCTGGAAATCGTGGCATTGTATTGGGAATTTTGAGTGGGTATCTGGGTTTGAGTGCAGCAATTATCACTCAGCTATACTATAGCTTCTATGGAAACGACTCAAAATCTCTACTTTTGCTCATGGCATGGCTACCAACTGCTACAGCTTTTGTTTTCATACCAGTTATCAGGAACCACAGGGGTATTCAACAGCCAAATGATACCAAAGCTTTCTATAGGTTCCTCTATTTAACACTTGTCCTTGCAGGGTTTCTATTGATTATACTCATAGTGCAAACATGTTTCACCTTCATGAAGAGTGAGTATTATGTTACTACCACTGTGATGCTTCTCTTGCTCATCCTACCATTTGGTGTTGTTATTTTGGAAGAACACAAGATTTGGAGGAGCAAACAAGAACACATCAATTATGAAGATCCTCAAAAGCCCATGAATATAAGTATAGAAAAGCTTAATCAAGAGAAGTCAGCACAGGCTCCCCATGCAGAACAAGCTATCCAAAAATCAGTTTCCTGTTGGAAAAACATACTCAGGACCCCAGATAGAGGTGAAGATCATACAATACTTCAAGCAATTTTTAGCCTTGACATGGGTATTCTTTTCTTTGCTACTATATGTGGACTTGGTAGCAACCTGACTGTGGTTAATAACTTAGGTCAGATTGGGAAATCTTTAGGATATCCTGCACATGCTATAACCACATTTGTTTCTCTTATGGCTATTTGGATCTATCTAGGAAAAATTGCACAAGGGGTTGTCTCAGAATTTATCATAAACAAATTTAAACTCCCTAGGCCTATAGTGTTCACATTTCTTCTTGTACTATCTTGTGTTGGTCACCTTTTAATTGCATTCAACGTCCCAAATGGTCTCTATTTAGCTTCAATTGTAATTGGTTTCTGCTTTGGGGCAAACTGGCCATTACTCTTTTCCATCATATCTGAACTTTTTGGTCTTAAATATTACTCAACATTGTACAATGTTGGGTCAATAGCAAGTCCAATTGGATCATACTTGCTTAGTGTAAGGGTTGCAGGGTATCTGTATGATAGGGAAGCAAGAAGGCAAATGGCATCATTGGGGCTAAAAAGAAAGCTAGGGGAAGAGTTAAACTGCAGTGGGGGTGAGTGCTACAAATTGGCTTTCATTATAATCACTGCAGTTTGTTTGTGTGGGGCTTTTGTGTCACTCATTTTGGTGGTTAGGACTAGAGACTTCTACAAAAGTGACCTATACAAGAAATTCAGAGAAGAAGCTAAAACCGTTGAATCTGAAATGGCTGTGTCTCAGAGCAGAGTTGGACCACCTACTGCTAACGAAGGCTAGAAATCATTGGCAAGGAAATGGTAAAAGAAACTTGAGAACGAGAGCAACAGCTCCAACTAGTATAAAATATAGTTTGCACTTAATAGTGAGTCTTGTAATGTAATGTTATGTTTTATTTTCTATACATCACTAGTCTGTAAGATAGGTTATGTCTGCTTTAAAACAAATATATGGTATTTGCATTACAGTGTTACTTGAGAAATAAATAAATGCTCATATCCGCCAGGCATTAATCTAGTTTTCTTTTTTGAATTTATATAATGATTTCAAAATTCACAGAAGAAAAAACAAAAAATGAAACGTAAGCTGACAAATTTTTAAAATTATGAACTCATTTTGTGTTTTGGCCCCATTTCATTTTACTATCACCCAGTCTGCAAAAAGAAGTTTTAACCCTTAGAGTTAGGTTAGTTCTTTTATTTATGGGTTAAGTTAGTCTCATGCAACATAAGATAGAGAGTTTCTCTTACTGACCCTTCAATATTTATGCTTGCCTTTTTCTTTTCTTTTTTTCTTTTTAAAAATCAATGGAGCCCACATATGTTGAGTTTATCACATAAGATACCCTATCTCGTACAGCAGAGAATAATAATTCCCTTTATTTATACTAGTATTCCTACGACAATTGATATCAACTAACTACTAACCACATGTGGTATTAATAATAACATTCTAATGCCATATTCGGATATCAATATCCGGATATTAGATCACCAATATCCAGATATTCCATGACAGTGACGAAATGTAATATCTTTCTCCAAGCTGAGGGTTTAGTGTTGCGAAATCGGCAAGTATACCATTCGTTTCAAGTAATAAAATGATAGGTAAAGTATCGTTTCCACGAGGATTAATGCACCAAGTACTAGTTTAACTATTCCCCTTAAGTTAGAAAATAAAATTGAGTTGAGTGTGAAAATAATTGATTTTGGAATTTTAAAACAGAATTTAAAAAAAAATAATTAAAACAGAAAATTAATAACAATAAATTTTGAACGTATGCAAGAAAAGATCAAGAACGCGAGAAAGTATTGATGAAAAATTTATAAAAAGGATGTAGCAAGGATGCACTTCACCTCCGATCCTCCCTTATATTCCTATATTGTATTTTATAATTAATTAATTCGTTTGTTCAAACAATTCATTATTTTCCTATAAAATAATTGAACCCTAATGTCTTAGTGATTTCAACCCTTTAACCCAATCAGAATTCTAATGTCTTAGTAATCTCACTTGAATTAAGCATTAAGCAAATTAATTATGAGTCTGCAATTTATATAAGCCTATGTCTAGATCATACACAAATTGTTATTCTACCCTTGTCCAGACTAAAACCCCAATATGGCTATTGTGAGTCCTAACCCTCAAAGCCCTATAATTTAGAGTGATCAGTTCTAAATAGGATATGAAAAATTAAACCAGGTAGAATAAAACAAACTAACTAATTAACTTATAAAATATCAATACATAAAATATAAAGGATTCACATTGGGTCTGTGATCCCAACTACAAAAACAAACTAGCCAAACATAGCTGGCTTAAGCAAATTAAAAAAAGAATTCATAAAGCAATAAAGAAAAAGAAGGAGAAGAAGAAGAAGAATCAATGATCTTTGGTCTTCAACTCCGTCGGAATCCTGATCTTCAGCGTGAGCCTCCAAGAATTCTCTCCAGCCAAAGATTCTTTTCTCTGAGAGTCTAAGTCTCTATTTATAGAGTTTTTGACCTAGTGTAGAAATCTTGATTGAATCTTCGTTTAAAATCTCTGTTTAATCTTTCGCTAATACTGAAAAATATTTAATATTGATTTTTCGCATTTTTTACGCCACTAGCGTGGTTCCCACGCTGTGAGCGTGGATTGCAGGAAGGTCTGGCGCTACTAGCGTAAGTTCCACGCTAGTAGCGTGGATGTCTCGGGCTGTTTTTGAACTCTGGCGCTACTAGCGTGAGTTCCACGCTAGTAGCGTGGATGTCTCTGTATGAAAAGGCTCATTCACGCTGTCAGCGCCACACCCACGCTATCAGCGTGGGCCTTCAGTTTGGTAATTTCCAATTTGGCTCCAGTTTGTCTATTTTTCCTGCGAACTCAAAAGGAAATAAGTATCACAATCTTTGATTGAGATTTTAACAATTAAACAGTAAATACTGCCTTTTTATTCAAGATTAATCAATATTGTTTCTCTTTTTGACTTAGATTTATATATATGCTGGAGGCATATCATTTAGTATTCAACCCCGTGCCCCATATCACTTCATCTCGTGCTTAGTTGTTGATGGGATGAAAATTCATTCTCATTTAAGCCCATTTTGATGGTAAAAATCCATCTGTTCCGTCCACTGGTGACCATTTTTTGCTGTCAAAATATGTTCCTAGATCCTGAGAACAGAAGTACTAGAAGGGAACGGATAGTGATGTAATCAGCTGATAATGCAAGAAAAGGGGAACAATTTAACTTATTTGTACACCTGCTCCACTAACCTCTCCTCTGACTCTTTTGCAGGAAACATTGAAAATAAACTTCTAAAAGCATAAAAGAGTACAACAATCAAGCAGGAAGAAACGTGTATAATAGAGAATGAAGAGTGCTCATTGGTTGAGGGAAAAAGAAGGCATGTGGTTTCAGAATAAAAAGGAAAAACTTAACCCTAAGTTATCTAATCAAGCAACATGCTTCACTTGTCAGAGCATCAGTTCACTGCCTCTTCATTCAATCAAGGAACAGCTGAAGAAGAACCACAAGATTTCCATCCATCACCTCAGCCTATAAATAGGAGAATCCAACATGAAGAAACAATTGAATTCCTTAAGAAGAGATCACATAGTTCATAGTTTAAGTTTATGTGTTTTAATATGTATAGTTTTAGTAATAGTTGAGTGACAACAACCCATCCCCCCTTTTCTTTTCACCATTTGAGACTCCTCACGAGCAATATCCATACTTCTCCATTTTATTTCTTTGTTGTTTATTAATATATGTTTGTTATTTCTCTTCTCTTCCACTCGTTATCTTCAACCTGAGTCTCGGGTCTATCAGATTTCATATTGAAATAATTATGTTAGTGTTTTTGTAATGCCCGGCCGCTTCAAGAATCAATGACTATCCCCACATACTAACACGAGACTTTCCAGTGTGCTTTTTCCTCACTCGCACACTTCCTGGGAAAACTTCCCAGGAGGTCACCCATCCCATAATTTCTCCAAGTCAAGCACGCTTAACTGTGGAGTTCTTCCGTTCCGGGCTATCGAAAAGCAGATGCATCTTGTTAGTATAAGTAATACCAATTAATTCTTATAAGTTATCCCAAACTGTGCAGTCTCACATCTGCACAGTCTTTGGAATCCCTCTCTTTCGAGTGTCGATTCGATTCATTCATGCATGTAACCCCCCGCTAGAAGCCTGTCAGGAGCCGCTCCTTGTCCGTGCCTCTTTGCACCGGCGATCACTCCCCGCCCTCGTCAGTGCTCGGGATGTTACATGCCCACCAGCTTCCGCTTGGTTCGTCCTCGAACCACACCGTACTGGAAGAGAGGCCCTGCTCTGATACCACTTGTCAATGTTATCATACTATTGTATTAAGCTGCACTTAATTAAAAATGCGGAATATCTTTTTCTTTTCAATTATGAAGTCATTATCATTACCAACTTGCTTATTAATCAATTAATAAAACATCGCCTGTATACAATTGCAATAAAACAGCTAACTGAAAAACCTCATTAAACTCATAATTAACAGATTAATAAGCAAGTTGGTAATGATAATGACTTCATAATTGAAAAGAAAAAGATATTCCGCATTTTTAATTAAGCGCAGCTTAATACGATAGTATGATAACATTACCGGGTATATACGGGGTGTTACAGTTTTCAGCCATAGGCTAAGTTATTTTGGAATGGAAAAACTGTGAAATTCTTAAAGAACTATGTTCAAAACTCTTGTACTGAATCTTTTGTATTTCTGTGATTCAAGTAATTTTAACTTTTTGGGTATCAATGGAAATTGAACGCAAACTGAGAAAGAAACTTCCTCAAAGAAGGGATTTCAAACAGCTTGATCATAGGGGGAAGGTAGGATTGTGGAAACAATCTTATTGGTTGCCTTAGAAATAAGGAACCACCTTGTTCTCTGAAGGTTTTGAACTTAGTAACTGTTGGAGTCAAGGGAGCCATAAGAATATGAAAACTTGTGAGTCATTTAGTCCATGAGCTGAGGAATAAGAGTTGGCAGTGAAAAGACTTGAACAAATTCAGAAGGGTTAAGTCTTGAGTTGAGAGCATAGCTATTTAAGAATGGAACAGTGGATCTATTCCTTGTGTTAAAAACTATTTTTGTTAATCATTCATCTTATTGTCTCTTAATTATTGTTATCTTTAAGTTTTCAGCATTTAATATCTTGTGATCATAAAACCAAATCTCTAATGATTTTGTCGTTCCTCCTGAAATCAAGAATGATTTAATATATAACAACGCGAGGAGTTGTTTAGAGTCAATCTGAACCTACCACCTTAAGGGAACGTCCTTAAGGCACTAGGCAATGAAAGACCGAACAGTTCAATACTGTCTTTTCTGTTATTTCAAATTCTTTTCAGAATAGTTCAAAGTATTATTTCGAGTTACTATCCTTGTGGGAACGATAACGTGGGCACTAATAATCTCACTTATTACTTGATGTGTGCACTTGGGCGATTAGGTTAATATCTAGAGAACAAATGCGTTTTCTCTTGATGGATTAAGTAAATGGAACGTCCTTAAGAGCATCAGCACCCAACAGTTGTGCTTACCTATGTAATCAGTTTACTTAAGTTATTTCATGTATTTCTAGGCATCTAAGATGTCATATTTCATGGTGTTTAAACAACTATTACATGCATAAATGGTGAATCCTAACAATCCTTTACTTAGGTCATCTCACATGCAAATCATATTACAAAACAAGGACCAACATGATTAATACATAATTCCCAACATCCATAAATAAAGCATATTACAATATGGCATAGACAATCCTTATGCTCATATTAAATGCACATAATAAATATTATCAATATTAGGCATGCCTCAACTACAAAATATTTCATAATCATAATGCATGCATATCATGCTAACAACTCGACTCCGGCCTTTTGCCTCGAGATGCACCAACATCAACAATCTCAGTACCTGAAAAATGTGCCCCAGAAGGGGTAAGATCTCTATCAGAAATCTCAGTAAGACAAGGGTT